TCTTTAGTGCTCTAATCCCTGTATGTATTCTCATCAGTTTAAAGCAGTTTCCCATGTAAACTGAGATCCTGACTTTTCTTAATGCTAAGCCTTAAATTCAGTTTCTGCTGTTGCACAACCGGTTTGTGTCCCTAGTTGCTTCTGCACATTGGATATGCTCAAACTCTTCTCTGGAGGACTCATGGAGAAAGCTTAAATAGGGATAAAATGTATTATAGTCTTGGAATGTTTTCTTTTAATTTTCTTTTATCATTAAGAAAATAGGAGAGCTTCTTGTTTCTGCTTACCTGAAAATTTTATTTCTGTAGATGGATACAAAGGTCCTTCCCCCTTACAGCTGCTCTGCAGCAGGATGGCAATGCCCTAATACATGCAGATCTTCCAGCAGCACCAGATTTCCAGTTCCAGATACATGAATTATTTGGGAAATGTAAAGGTTATGTTAAGCTTATTTGGAAGAGTAAACATCCTCTCTCCTCTTTGTCCTCCACTCCCCCAGTTTTGCCTTTCACATTGAAACAAGAGACCTGTGTCCTTGGATGTTGATTTGCTCTCTTTTGGACAAGATTTACCCCAGAATGAACTATTTTATCAATTTGTTTGAATAAAGGACACATCCATGAAAGTGGGTATTCAAAGGTGCACAGCCCAGCGTGATGGAATTTTCATGGCAGTCTACTCAGTGTTGGGATGCAGGATCAGGGGAGAGGATTCCCTCCCCTCCTTCCTCCTCTCTACTTTATTTTTTTATCATTCTGTCCTTCTCAGCATAAATATCTTATGTCCTTTGTTTCCTCCTCAAGATTAGGGTGTGGAGACACATTTTTTTCAAAGACAGATTGTTTTTCTCTGAGACTCTTCTGTGGGGAGGGGGTCCCTCTGCGGGTAGCTAATGCTGGGGGGCTCAGCTGGAGGCTTTTCTCTCTGACTGACTAAAGCTGTTTGCTCACGCATTGAAGCAGAGTGGTGCAAATTGATGGTTTAAATCCAAAGGGGCTGGTCAGGAGTCTCACAGGTAACTCTGAGATGAATGAGCTACTCAGCCCAGCTCCTTTCACAAGTGACCTGTCATCTGCAGTGGGGCTTTTCTCCTGCCAGGCAGCTCCAGTTCACCCTGCATCCTGCAACCATTTCCTCGCGTCTCCAGGGATGGTGGCCATTTTAATCCTCTTTGTGAAGGTTCAGAAAAGGCTTGGTGTGCCAGAAGGCTTCTTGCTGTACCCAAGGCTTTGAGGTTGAAAGATGATGTGCTGTTTACGCCCAGGACAGCCTCCTGGAGAAGGGCAGGTTTGGCCTTTGCTATCCCTGCTTCCTTCACAGCACGTGAGGAGCTGTGGTGGTCACAGAGGGCAAGCTGGATACAGCCTGAGGATCCCCCTTACCAAAGAAGGACTGAGGGTGATGGCTGTGAGCATTCCTTTGGCTGCAGGTGAATTAGGCTGTCAGGGCCTGTGTCAGAGAAACAGCTGAGCTTGTTTTCAGTGCTGACCTTGAAGGCTGCACGCAGGCACTGCAGACACACGTGTGCACAGGGCAAGCAGCAGGGAAAGGCTCAAAGGAATGGCAGGGCTGACAGGAGCCATTTGCCCTGCCTTTCTTTACTGGTCCAAATGTGGATTATTGTCCCGTACTAACTGGCAGTCGCTGCTAAGAGGTAATGGTCAGGCACAGCCATCTCCAGCAGAAAGTGGGAAGGCTAATCTGCCCTGGAAGAAGGACCACCTGCAATGGCAGCTGGGGACAACAGCCTGTTGTGGCCTTAGTCACATGTGTCTGCTAGAAAACCTCTGCTCTTGTATTACACCTTCCCAGCTCACACAGTCGAGACTTTCAAGACTTCTAGAGGACATCAAGCATGGCGTTATAGTTGGAAAGCAGGATTGTTTGGATTGTTCTGATGGCATTTGGCTTGTCCTTCACCCCAACAGGTAGAAAAGCTGCTTCCTTCCTGCCTTAGTCCTCTGAGAAATATTTCTGGGATTTTCCTCACTCCTCTCCTGCACTTCCTTCTGTGAAGGTGAGTGGAGGAAACAGCATTGTTTATTACCTCTTCACAATTATTTCCTAATAATCTTTCCATGGTGTCAAGGAAGGAAACAAATTCAAGGCACAAAACTTTCAAGAAACTCTCAATCGCTGGGCTGTGGGGGTCCCTCTGCTTGCAGTGCTGCAGGACCTCCGCGTGTTTGCTGATGACACCAAGTTGACAGCTGGAATGCTTGAGGGAAGGGATGCTATCCACAGCCACCTGTCAGCGTCTCCAGGCCTAAGGGGTGGGCCAGTGTGAACCTCACGAAGTTCAAACAAGGCCAAGTGCAAGGTTCTGCGCCTGGGTTGGGACAATCCCCAGGATCAGTACAGACTGGGTGCTGAAGGGATCCAGAGCAGCCCTATGGAGATGTACGGGAGGGATAAAAAATAATGCATAAAAAAATGGACTTGAACTGGCAGTGTGCTCTTGCAGCCTGGAAAGCAAATCATATCCTGGGCTGCACCAAAAGCAGCATGGCCAGCAGGGTGAAGGGGGGCATTCTGTCCCTGGGCTCTGCTCTGGTGAGACCCCATCCAGAGTGCTGCATCCAGCTCAGGGGGTCACCAGCACAGAAAGGACATGGACCTTTTGGGACGAGACCATAGGACAGCCAGGACAATGATCAGAGGGCTGGCTATGAAGACAGACTGAGAGAGTTGGGGCTGTTCAGCCTGAAGAAAAGGCGGCTCTGGAAAGACCCTTTTGTCTTTCAATATATTAGAGGGCTGAAAAATGTGGAGAGAGACTTTTTACTACAGCCTATAGTGACAGGACAAGGGGGAACTATTTTAGATTAAAAGAGAGTAGAATTAGTTGTGTTATAAGGAATAAACTTGAGCCTGTAAAAATTAGAAACAAGAGAGGCTGATGAGTGCAGGGAAGCAACTGGGTGAGGAGCTGAGAGAATGTGACTGGGACTGACCTGTATTCGGCACCTACATTTTGACTCTCCATGTAAAACACATTAAAATTGCTCCTGCTAACAGGAAAGGGACCCAAAATGTTTGGACTGCGAGGGACCCAGGTATCCAGGGGAGGAACACCACAGCAATAGTCCACAGTGGAGTCCTGTGCACCATTTTCCAAAGACTGAAATACCTTGCAGCAAATGAGGCCTCTACCACAGACACAAGGAATAAAGAGACAAGCAAAAAAAAAAGAAATTGATGTTCCCAAGAAGATTACTGCTTTTACACAGCAATGCCAGGCAAGCATCCAAAAATGAATGGGACAGAGTAAGAAGCCCTGAGACTAAAATTCATATTGTGCATGTATTTAATGACCTATTTAAATTTATGCATTCTTATTTGCAACATTTTCTAAGCTTTTGAATTGTCACGTCAAGGTGCTTCTTTTCTGTTGTTTGTGTAAGTTAATAACAGTGTGTCATTGTGTAACTAAGCCTGCTTTCAAACTGTGCACGGTGTAGAGGTAGCACAGAACAGGAGTGCAGGCAGAGATGCCCAACAAGTGGTCAGCTGCGGCTTTAGCCGCATGCCAGACATCCCTGGAACAGACTTTGCAGCTGATTACGGCATACCAGAGAAGGTCTGGGCTTTGGCAAAGAGCTAGAAATCAAAGTCCTAATTTCCTGACTCTGTGATGACTGTGAGTCATAGCCAGTTTGGAAAACCTCTATTCCTGTCTCTCCATAAGCATAATAATGCTATAGAGCTTGTTGGTGTTCAAAGTGTTAAAGAGATGTTTAAGGAATTACACAAATGATACTTATTGTAAAGGCTCATGTAATCACTTCTAATCAGAACCACAACATTTTCTTGTTTGGCCTCAAACACAATCCTTTGAGATCTCTGTGTGTGTGTGTTTATACATATATGTATGTATGCAGTATGCAGTAAATAATCTCTACTACGGTTCAAAAAAGCCTCATCTGGGCAATGACTGTGAGCCAGACAAAACTGAAAAGAATGAAAATGGCCAGAACTTTCTCTCCTCTCAAGCTGACAGATCTTATGCACTTGAAGAACAGCCTTTTCTTTTTCCCACTCCCTCATCTTTGAAGACCAGTGATCTATTTCATCTGCCTCAAACAAAGGACTCTTGAAAGATGTTCTCTTAAATTTATCTTCTCAGCCCTGGGGCATACAATTACTGCTGTTCACTCATGCTTTGCCTGTTTAGATATTGGAAGGATACACGTACTTTCTGTCATTGTCACAGCACTCCCAGGACAGGCAGCATGTTCCTGATTCAGGCTCTGCCCACCAATGTCTGTGGAGTCAGCAAGGCAAACCTCGTTTAGGTGCTTACAGAAACAAATGGTATCTTTTAGGTGATACCTGACCAGTGTGGTATCTCTCAGGTTCTGATCTGTGCTCACTGAGATGGGAAAATGTAGCAGGAAACTGGATAAGAATCCTGAATGCTGCCTTTGACATTGCAGCTACTTCCCCCAGCAGCATTCCTCAGGGAGCACATGATCGGCATGGGTAAATCCCCGTGACTCAAAAGATAAAACGCTTCACTAGCCCAGGCAAAAAAGGTTACAAGTGTAACTTCGGACAGGATTCAGAGAAGCACTCAGGTGTCCTTTGGTTCATAAGCACTGCAGGATAAAGGAACAGGACACACAACAGACACAGGATCTGTTGAAAGCTGGTCATCCTAGCTGTGTATTCAATTCCCTATGTCATGGGAGAGGGAAAGGAAGTTGTTTTTAGCTCAAGTTTGGCAGCAACGCAGTTGTAACCTATTAAAAGCCCACTGCTGTTTGGATTTGGTCTGTGCGGGATGAAAACATTACAATGAAACGCATTTTAAATGCAGGAGTCCAGCTTGAGAGACCGGTGCAAAAATCCTTGTTAAAACAGTCACTCAATGTCGATTTTATTACATCACGTTGGAGCAGTATGGTTACAATCGGTGATTCAATACACACTTCAGCACCTTGTAGGAAAATACACTGTGGGCTGGCTGCCCGTTTGCGAGTGTCCATCCTTTGCTGAAGCCTCAGTTCTCTGGCCCAGTCCCAGAGCTGATTTCACACTAACGTGGCGAGAGCCTGGACGTTGTGGGAGCTTTCAGAGGTCCTGTGCACGGCGTGCTGGTTTCTGACACTTCTGTCCCTAACGCTGCCCTTGGGGCTGTGCTGAGCCTTGGCCGCGTGGCTCTGGAAGGCGCGGACGGTGCGGACAGCAAGGATGCAGAGCACAAAGCTGGCAAAGTACAGGCAGGAAGCGACGACCCCGAAGAGGCCGACAGCGGCGTCGCCGCCCTGGACGTCGCAGTTCATGGAGGTGTAGCCACGGCGCGCGTAGAGCCGCTCGCGCCTCCTGCACACCTCGGTGGCGTTCACCTGCCTGACGAAGTGCAGGTAGAGCCCCACGGCCGCCAGGTACGCCAGGCCAGCCAGCAGGCTGAAGGCACATTCGCCTACCAGCAGCCCTGTCCGGAGCTGCTGGATGGGTTTTGCCCCCACGACGAGGAAGACGAGGGTGAGCGTGGCCGCTGTTAAGCTGAAGGCCACTCCGCCGTACACGCAAGGGGCTCTCATCTGGGTGTACTGCATGTCCAGCTCCCGCACCTCCCGCAGCTCCGTGCCCTCAAAGGGGCTGTAGGCTGAATTCAGGTTGAAGGATCCGAAGCCTCCGAGAGATGTGAAGCCTGCAACGGAGGCTTGGGAAGCGCCCACGCAAATCAGCACCAGGAGGTTAACTGTGATTTCCACAAACTTCAAAATGCCTGGAAGGAGCAGAAAGATGGGAATAGGTGTCAAAACTACATCTTGTGCAAACTGTGGGTGACAGAAGTACACCAAAATCATAGGCAGAGAGTACTAATACTGAGATACTCCTCTTGGCTACAGCTACAGAAAAGCACTTGGAAAGAAAAAAAAAAAGAGAAGCCTGAACTCTCGCGGGTACATTTTGGAGGCTGGGCAAATTACTTTTTTTAATTTGTCAGTGTGCTTGATAGATGGATCTTCATACAGTGAAAAAAAATCCATAAAAAATTTACAGTGCTTGTGTTACTGCCAAGGCAAGCGCACAGTGATTATATTTTGGCCTGTAACTACTTGGCATAAACACACTGAGCAAGAAATATCCAGTATGAACAAAATGCTGAGGTTGAAGCTGACAAAAACCTAGAAGCTTCTAACCATTAAAAATCGTGCAAGTTACTTCAGTCCTTCAAAACACATTTACCACTTTAACTTACACCTTTTTTTTTTTTTTCTGTGAAGGTATTTGTTAATTTAAACTTACTATCTAACTTGTACTTTATCTTCTTCAAAGACAAAAATTGCTCATAACTCTGGAGTTTCTGATTGTACCAAAAAAAAAAAAAAAAACCACCAAAAAACAAAGAAGGAGGGATGCAAAACTCACCTTGTATGCATAAATAAATTAAGTGAATTTGATACTAGGTCATATGCACTTTCACACCCTGACCTTCAGAAGAAAGCTTTACAATTTCTCAGTTGACTCTTCCCTTTTTCTTATGTTAGGCTACTAATAATAGTAACCAAGTATCTTTAAGGGAAAAAATACAAACAAAACCCAGAACCGAAAAGAAGAGAAATTACTTATTTTTCTGGTAGCTGCCTCTCAGGAAGCTGCCTTATGTTTGATAAATCTGATTATTCTGTGACAGCTCACTAGGGGTCAGCCTAAGATTAGTAAACATGACGGATGTTGAAGCGTAGCACAGCTAGAGTTGCCTGTTGGGGAAATGAAAACCCTTAGCGTGTCAGGCGTGTTGCTCCAAGTTCTGAAGTTAATTACAGAATTGTAAATCTTATTATTCCATTGCTGTCTGACAGCCAAGAATGTAAGATGCTCGACACAGCGGTCCTATATTTGTCTTTAAAGTGGAGCACGATCTGTGGTTTGCACAGACTTTCATTTTATGCTACTAGCACTGATCCAACATGGCATTTCCCTCTTGAGCAAGGCTCAGCTGTTGTCAAGGCTGTATGGGCTTGAAAAGGAAGAACTGAAGCAGGAACACAAGGGAATTAAACAAATTCCTCTCTTGTGTTGCCAGATGCTTCTAACCAAAGAAAGCCAGTGACAGCCACAATGAAGGATTTTCAGATATTCCCATTCTGCCCCTTCTTACTCCCTCCACAGAGAGCTAAGGTAATGAGTCCTTTCCTGCTGCCACTTGCTCTGCACAGGAAGGTAGTGTTAGTTAGAGCAGACAAAATTCTTCCCCTTGTTCAAGAGGAACCAAGTGAGCAGTTCTGTGTATGTATTCTTCAGAGGCGATGCTGATTTCTGCATGGCAGCGTACCTTTTCTTTGACTGTTCTGCACAACCATTTCTGTGAAGCAGGGCAGTAACTGTGGTGGTTACCAAATCTCTTCAGGAGGCTTCAAGTACTTCAAAGGAGGTATTTGTGGAGCTAAACGTAGAGAGAAATTTAATTTTTGGCCCTGGAGTTAGGATTTGGAACTTCTTGTACTAAATCTAGTAATGCAGCCAAAAGACTCGTCATTTTTAATAGGTAAAGAGTCATCACTTTACTAGGACTGTTCATAGTATTTTGAAAGAGTAGTAGCTGTGCACAACATTAACTGGAACTCAATCAGGTTTTTTTTTTTTTTTTTTTTGGTCTGCTCAGTTGAGTTGTAGAGTATACCTTCCAAATACAGGGAGTCAACTTAGATCCTCAGGGCCCTTAGACAGTGTGACAGTGTTGGATGCAGGAGGGCACTTCCCTTTTTAAAGGCTGACTATTGATTTCATAGATGTTCCATCAGGAAACTGTTTCTTACAAGTCTACATGGAGGAAAGACCATTTGATTAAGGGAAACATAAATTTTAAGTATGTTTGGCTACTTAGTAGTTGGGAATTCATGATCCGTCAGCTGCTGACTTCAGAATTTCCTTTTCATCTGTGTGTACTGAGGCCCCCTGACCTGCCAAGCATCAACTTTTCCTCTACATCACCTTGCTGAGCTTTGGAAAAGGCAATTTTCTGTTCTCAAAGTAGTCACTGCCTGCTGCTAACCTCCCCACATTTATAACTGACCCCAATCCTCAATGATGCTGCTCCAAAGCTTTCTATATGTTCACACACATTCTGTATGCCACCCCTTAACTTTGCTGAGCTGACTGATAATGGGAACACAAATGTGATCAGTGCAGGTCTACTGTATTTTTAACCACAGCAGTAGATGCTTTGAAGGTATGCCTGAAAAATTTCCTTAGACAGGGCTTTCAGGTTGGACAGGTTTTGTATGTACCTGCACAGTTGTGACACATGCCTGCTGTAGAATTGATTAGAGTGACGAAACAATGGAGAGAGGTCCAGCAGCAACGACTTCACCGATCACTTGTATCATTTGGATTAACTTGGATTTTTTAAAAGAAAGTGCAAGAACAAAGCCTCCTGTATTAAAGACAATCTTAAAATGATAAGCAGTATGCAGAATGAATTACAGGTCTATGATGACAGCCAGCTGGGTTTACGAACGTAGCAGACAATTAGTGGAAATGCCTAAGACCTTGTATAATCATCAGGGCTTTGATGGAAATATTAAGCCTTACAGTATGTTCCAACCCAGTAATGCCAAAGGCCTCTCTTGCAGCCTTAATCTGTGATAGTTACAAGCTGATACAAAATCCTACTAGTATAACAGGATAGAGACAGATTTGAGACTAAAAGGAAAAAAAGGACAGGTAAATTTTGAATCTTAGCTCTGCCAAGGTATGGTCACACACACCTTAGCAGTGACCTGTGTCAAGCAGTGTGCTGCTGGTGGAAAGGATTGAGTTACAAGCCACACACCGAGTCTGTCCTGCCATTTCTGCTTTCACAGGCCAGTTAGCCATGTCATCTTGAAGTTATATCTGCAGAAACCAAAAGGTCTTCCTACAGGGAAGTTGCTTATCTCTACAGTAATTCCCTAATCCCATGCTACAATGAACACACTGCAAGATTTAAGTGTAAAATAACTGAAGGTCTGAACAGCTCAGAATTCTATTGGCTATTTTTTCCTTTCTCAGGTCCAACATCTTTGGATTTACCTAAAATGTTACTCATTTGTATTAAAATCAGCAGAGTCAACAGCTGGCTTTAGGAACTAACCCTTTCCTTACCGAATAAGCCCTGTCAGGGCTCCTGGATTGCTATTTCTTTCCTGTGCTTCTTTCCTGCACTGCTTTTCAGCACTGAAGGCGAGGAGAAGGGCTGCAATCTAGAAGTGGGTGTTGCCAGAGATTTCCATGGATTTGTTTCATTAGTTTCATAAAATCTAAATCTGCAGTGGATAGTAACTTCAATGTATCCTACTTGTTAATTTTGCTTGAATGCAGTTGTCTTCTGCTGTGAGTATGCTTCCTGCTATAACCAATAAGAGATCCTTCCAAGTTACACTATTTATGTACTATTCACTTTTTCTTTCCCTTTATTTTCCTTGCTGGGATATTTCCATGGTATCAACCCATTGAACAATGGTTTTATCTTCTGTCAAATGTGGGCTTGGCCATCCAGCAAAGCTGACAGGTGGGCTGGTTAAGGATACAGACCCACAAGCAGCTGAATTTAACAGCTCCCACCCCCGGCTGGGCAGTCACTACTTTTCTCCCTTACCTCCACATTAGGCCCTTCTAAGAGTTGCTCAAATAAACTAAAATAGCAGGAAACTATTTAACTCTTTTCTTTTGTGCTGCTGGTTTTGTTCTGCAACTTTAGCATCTTGAGGTGACTCACAGCATATCTGATGATATATGATGAGCAATCATGTTGGCATGAGTTTAGCAAGGGCAGTACCAGCCAGGACCAGAGAAGGACCAGAAACTCCCCTTCTCAGGTGAGGTGAGCTGTTAAATCCACGTGCTCTGCCTCATAAGACCACGCTGTGGCTGGATGTGTGATACCCAGCAAGTCAGCTGTGCACTCAAGTCTCCTGTCAGAAGCTGCAAAGAGGAATTTCCATGCAGGCACTGTGGCAGGACAGCTCTGATGTTCAGGTGTGTGGGTTGTGGTGTGTGTAACGTGAGTACATAAAGTAGAATGGTCAGTTCTTGTTTGCTCCGTTGTTTCTGCCATAAATGAATTTGCAGGACAGACAGTTCTGGCTTTTTCTGTTGAACTCCCCTGACCCCATGAGTGCCATACTAATGGAAAAGGCCTTCAAAGTGTCTCCCTCCACTGTACCTGAGACAGAAATCACCTTCCTCTGCTGAATGCACACGGACTCCTCCTCCTGTCTCTTTTTGTCTCATTCACTCCTCTTCAGTGAACATCACTGTGTACTTCCAGAATATTCTATGTCTACCATTCTCCATTTTCGCTTGCCTTCTCCCTCTGCTTCCTTTTCAGACCACGTACCACTGGGACCAGCAGGACCCAGGGCAGCCCTGGGGGTATGTGGCTGCCACCTTTGGACACCTGGGTCCCAGTGGCAGGGCTAGTGACATACAGGTTAGTGGCACCCATGTCACATCCCATTAGGGGTCGCTCCAGGAGAAGGGAAGAGAGGAGTTAGAAGCTCCAACACACATGAAAAATCTTTCTCCAAACTTTTTTCACTGCAAGTTGTATTTTGTTGCTTTTCCTCCACCCCCCATTTGGGTAGTTTTCTGCTTTTCAGAGGTAATTTTTCTTCTTCTTATTTTTTTTTTACTCCTCAAAAAGGAGAAGACAAGTATTTTGAACATATACAGCGACTTACAAAAGCAGCAGTCAGTCCTGAAAAGGATCTCAAATGGAGAACATCTCTTGCCAGCGCA